ATATATGTGTGTGTGTGTGTGTGTGTGTGTGTGAGTAAATTTGAATCTCAGAAATGCTTAGCAAGCAGGCTTTGGTAGGTTAATTTGCAACTCATGTCTGACGGTGCTCTCTCGTTGGAGCTGCAGTACTGTGGATCTGTGCTGTCCTAGCATAATAAAACTTTGTTTTATCAAGCTGAATAACGAAGTATGGTGGATGTTAGCTTGTCTTTTGTCCTTTAGCTAGTTTTGTTTCATGGAATATGCAATTTTAAAATCACTTACTATTTAAGAGAGCCAATCGTCTTTAAGACGATTTAAAAATACATGTGCTAGATGTTTGTGCTCCGATCACCTGCCCTTTTTCAAGCATGCTACTGGATGATAACTACAAATACATCACGCACATCGGACTTCACACATAGCTGCCCACTCTCCTGGCTGCAAAGAATACCATCATCAAACTTACCGATATACAAAAAATGTGCAAGTAGTACAAGGGCAACAAATTTTCTTTCATTTGTTGAAAACTATACAAGATGTTAGCAAAAAATTTGGATCATTTAAATATACAATCTCCCGATGACCTGCCGCCTATGAGGTTGAGGTGATCAAAAGCCGGTTCAAGTTAAATGGTAGCTTATTGTTACTTTTGTTATTGTTGTTGTTTTATTGGTTTTATTGTTTATTGTTTGTGTTTGCTGTTTAGGTGCTTCCTTCCTGGCAATCACCACCATCTATGCTGAGTCTGGTTCTGGTTTTGTGGTCCCAAGTGCCTCTGCCAAGGCTGGAGTTGAGGCACTCTACAAGTCTGTCTGACCTTTAACCTTTCACTTGCACACAATTGACTGAGAGGCAGCTGAACCACGCCAGTGTGAATATAAGCTGGTGTTTGACATGTTCACTGAACAGGTTTTTGTTTTTGTTGTGTCAGGTCTCTTGCTGCAGAGTGGGGGCGTTATGGTCACAGGTTTAACATCATTCAGCCTGGACCAATCAGAACCAAGGTACTGGCCATTTGCTCACTGCTGTTGTATTTTTGTTTACATGTCCTTGATTGATTGTTGCCGTTTACTGTTCTTGTTGGTGGTTATGTTTAGGGGGCATTTAGCCGTCTTGACCCCACTGGCACATTTGAGGAAACAATGATCAGACGGATCCCAACAGGTCGACTTGGAAAACCAGCAGAGATTGCAAACCTGGCAGCATACATGTGCAGTGACTATGCCACCTGGATGTCTGGAGCTGTGAGTTTACACTGATCCTGGGTCCAGAGTTTATCCTGACTCCAAAATTTAGACACATCTTAGACAAGAATTAAGACTAGGCCTTGGACCATTTTTGAGTGATTCTAAGCCAGTTTCGGTTGATCCTAAGTCAGAGACCAGATTTCAGAGTGAACTTAGGTCAGTTTCAATGAAATATACTGTATGAATAAAAGGGACAGAGGCATGATGGCAGTTTTCTCAGACATTCAATTTTACTGCCAGGTCTCTTGCTGCAGAGTGGGGGCATTATGGTCATTGCTATCTTCACAAGCAGCCAAGAATGACATGATCATTATTGCCTGCTCCTGAAGATGGTTTTAAAATACAACTGAATGCTTGAGAAAACTACCACCATGCCTCTGTCCCTTTTTGGAGTAACTTTAAATCTTATATGCATTGAACATTAGTGAATCTCCTGATTTTTAGACTAAATATCTTTTTAGTTTGCACCACTCTACCAAAACAAATACCTTGTATATGAAAAACTACTTGGCAATAAACCTGCTTCTGATTGTGATAATACTGTTACTTGTGTGTTTGTGTTCAGGTAATTCGATTTGATGGGGGAGAGTATGTGTCAATGGCAGGAGAGTTTAACGACCTGCACAGGGTGAGTGTCACACTGAAATGTTTCCCTCAGAAACATGGATTGTCACTTTCAAACTGAGTCAAGTAACGCAGGTTTATTCAGGTTTAAGAGGTAAATCAGAGATGCTGTTTAATTTCCACTGAGTCTGTGGAGAGAAAGCACTGGCTTTACATATCCTGAATGTTTGAATTTTATTGATAATGCTGGTCTTACACCTAACATCTTTTCAAGCCATTTCAATGTTGCAGACAAATTTTGAATGTTGGAATAAAATCATGAGCCTTGTTACAGTCATGCTGCGCTCCCATCAGTTCAATCATTTGATGTAAGGTGGTGATTTCAGCTGTTTTAAATCATCTGTCTTTTTCTCATCTTGACACTCCAATAAAATCATATGTTTCATATTAAGAGAATTCTTTAGTTTGGGCTCATGCAAACAGTGACATGAACATTATAAACAACCAATAGGTGTCTCCAGCACCAAACATGAAGCAACATAGCCAGCACAGAAACAACAGTAAATATGATTGAGACTTCAG